TTTCTTCTGGGCTGTTGTCAGAAAAATGGTCAACAGTAAATCAGCATCGGCCGTAGTTGTGAAATACTCAAAAATGGATGGATGGGTCCATCCATCCATTTTTTCTCATTCTGGATTTACTCCTGAGCAACTATTAACCTGTTACAGAGGGGAGTTGAAGTTTATGAAAAAAACCCTAAATTAACAGCCACTCTCTCACATCACTTTACTGTGAAAAGATGCTGAAGAAGCTGCTGCGCTGTTTAAGCAGATGAGCTTTACAAGAGGCAGCAATGCATTGTGGAAGATTCTTGTCCCTCGTTTCCACAGCAACCAGGACTCCCACTGCAGAGCTCCACTTTCTGCGGAGATCTTTGAATATGGCCTTGGCCAAGTTCTCAGCATTTCTTGGGGTGATGTTTACGTTTGTGCCGTTGAGCTCTGCCCAGGTGTCATCAACCAGACGTTGAATGGTTGTCTCCAAGTCTGTGAAGAAGGCCCTGTCGCCTTGGACTGCCTTTCTGGCTTTCTTGATGAGAGTTGTGATGACAAGTTTAAGACATGTCTGTGCTGCGTCCTCCTGCTCTGCCTCAGTGTACGTCGGCAGAGGTATTACCTCCTCCCTGGGTCCTTCTATCACTTGTGCTGTGGTCACAGTCTCATTCTCCATCAAAGCAAGCAGCACTCTGTCACTGTAACGGGCAACCTGATTTTCCAACCACCAATTCATCAGTGACAAGAAGCAAATAACCCTTTGCCGTATGTCTGCATACATTCTAGCGTACGGCTGAGCCTCAGATGATGATGTTCCTGGTACGTCCTCCCTGAATGCTTCCGGAGCCATTTCACCGGTGATGTGACCGTAGAGGACGTCGCTGAGTTCCCCCGTCAACTCAAGGACGTCGTCCCTTGAAATCTTTTCAAGTCTGCGAAGCAGACTTACTTCCTCGTCAGTTACTTGGGTTTTACCAATGGTGTTAAGCAAAGGTTCAGCATCTTCCAATAAGGACTTGACTGATTCATCGTCGTCAACTTTGGCCTCGTCCGAGAACTTTGTCTTTACTTGTGAGAAAATTCGACAGATTGAAGCTTTAGCAAACATTTTAGCAAAAAAGTTGCCAATTTTGTTTCGCACTCCCTTTAAATTCTTCTGCTGTTGGGCTTTTGGACTAGGAATAAAAAATCCGGACTCTTTGGACTCTTTGGAACCGATGTATTCGGTGACAGACTGAGCGATGTCTTCTGCAGCAGCATCAGTCTCGTTATACAACTGCTCTTGTAACTGGTTATACGTCACATCTTCCACTTCCTCCACAAAAGGCTCAATAATCTGATTTAGCTCTTCACTGATGACCTCCTGGACCACCTGTTTAATTGATGACGGGGCATCACTGTCCTTGTTGGTCTGGTTGGGGGAAGTCTGAATGCTGCTGTATCGTGACTGCTTCCCACCACAGCACCTTTTCATCTTTCCTGCACACCTCTTCAACATTCTGCACACGGAGCGAATCAACGAGTTTGTCGGCTTCGGCTGTGCTGGTCTCTCACTGCTGGCCAGGGCAACAACTTCAGTTGCAATCCACTCTGTCACCGTGTCAGAGCCAGGACCATTCACCACCTCCACGCCCACGGCCTCGGCAAAGCTGCGCTCGATGGAGTCTTCCAGACTGTCTCGCACATTATCCACTGACACGCCTTTCTGCAAAGAGTCTGATAAGACGCCAACCACGCATCGAAAGACGTTCAGCAGCATGTCAGCCAAACGGAGCCTGGTGGAATCATCGGGCGTGCCTGTTTCTAACAAGCTCCACTGCTCTGCCGTCAGTCCGGTCAAAAAGGTTTTAACACATGGACTGACAGTTTCCACCGACACCTTTGGCAAATCCACTGAGACTTTAAGTGCTGACATTTTCGATTTTTTTTATCAATCACACCTAAGAGCTAATCCCTATTTTTATTTTTTTTTCTTGTACACTGATGATTGACAGTGGTTTGTAAAAGTAAGTTAAACAGAGGTAGGGTTAAACAGCAGCAAGTGTTGCATCACTGCTCCTTATTGAATTTAATAATTTAATACGGGATCATCTATCTATCTTCTCCTGGATCTTGGTCTCTCCTCCTTCCTCTTGTATCCTCTCATTTCTCTTCCCTTATGTGTTTGTAAGGTCATGTTAGCGTTCTGACGACTAAACTGCACATTTGACTTAAAAGATGATGTCATAGGAAGATAAAAGAGAAAAGCTCTTTGATCAACTGTGGCTACTGTGTGTTACATATGCCACCTGCCTTAAAGGGATTTAGATAAAGCTGGGTTTTGCAAGAAACACAGAAAACCCAACAGGGTGGTTGACCTTTAGTTCTGCGTGTCATTTTATTTTCCTAAGACAGTTTGCAGAGCTCAACAAGAACCCAGTGGAAGGCTTTTCCGCAGGTCTGATTAATGACTAATGATTACTCATTGTTTGCCACTAGAGGGAGGTTGGAGCAAATGACTGTCAGGGCGGGACTGGAGTCTACCGTAGAGTCCAGTGTTTCTGTGAACAACTGGAGCTGAGGCCGTTCGTTTTCTGTAGACCTTTTTGTTTTTCTTTGGAAACGACCGTTTGAAAGCTCGGCGATACAAACTTTGACTTTTATTTGCTTTTAAATGTGCAGGAGAATAAACTTTGATAATTTGCTTTGGATTTTATGCAGTGTGTTTTTATTTTGAACTGAAAACCATCGTCCAAGTTCTTACTTGACAAACCTTTATTGTTATTTTGTTAAATGTCATCCATCGTCTTACTATATTGGCCAGCTTTAGCTGATTCTGATTATCTTTTTTCTCTGCCACATCACTAATTTTAAATAATTAGGATCTTTACATTGATCCAGACCCGCTCTAGAAATATACAAGTAGTATTTTTGTAATTCTTTTTGGTCTGGTCTTGATTTATCTTCATTTTTTGATACATTACCAAATTATTTAAACGCAATGTTTAAATGCTTTTCAACAAATACCATCGGGGGTAATAAAGTTTTTCTGATTTAATTCCACAAATGGACAGCGATAAATAACGAAGAGCACGTGAACGCAGCATCGTAGTCCAGCGCCAGAAGTTTATAGAACATTCTTTTAGCGTTGAAATGTAAAGTTACCAACTTCTTTTCGCTGTATCACAATATAAGTCCTAATATATATATATGAGAAAGAAACTAAATATTTGGGGCATAAAACGCGAGGCCACCAAGTCTGGTTGGCCGTGACAACGTCGAGTCACGTGAAAAGGTGAGCAGCAGGTTGGCTTTCTGTAGGGGCCGAGTGAAAACGTCAATGCTAATTTGTTTAGGCTAACAGCTAGTCCTTTTATTATGCACGATGATTCGGATAAATTGAGTGTGTGATGTTTGGGTGCCGTAAATGGTTTCTACAACAGGAAGCAGGAGAGGAACTAGAATAACTGTAAAGAAACCAATGTAAATAACGTGAGTAGATACAAAATTAACCTGGAGACAGAGCCCGATGCTAGCTTTGTCTGGCCCTAGTTATTACAGAAAAGTGCCAATTTATACACACTTCTTCACATAAGGTGAGAACACGTTTCAGGTACTAATGATTCCGGGTACTCTCTAGTCACTAGAGTCTAGTGGGACTGTGGTTTTATACTCCCAGCTAAAAGACAACAGAAAAATAACTGAATTCAGTTTTTTTTTAATTGCACAATTTACACAGGGGTGATGGAGCTCTGATCCAAACAGGATCTATGAATGTTTTCCTCTTCCAGTTCCTCACTTGGCTTAAAGTCTTCCTCCTTGAAATTGTAATTGTTCAATCAGAGTACTCAGCTGTTCAAGGCTTGTGTACTGTATGGCATTGTGGCTCAAATCCAGGTTTGTCATGGTGGCGGGGTTGGACTTTAATACTGCAGCCAAAAGGTGGCAGCTCATCTCTGATAACCCGCAGAACCTCAATCTGAGAAATAGTCATAAAAAGCAAGATTAAATGAGTGATAATAAAAGGAAGTTTGAGCTGTGGGTTGACGCCTTCCTTCTGTAGTGAGTGTCATCTATCTTTAACTGAGGTGTTAAAACAGGTACTTCCTTAGACATTTATCTCAGCGATGCAGATAGGCTACATAATGCTGTGGTTGACTAGGAAAGTTTTTTTTCTTTTGCGAACTGGAATGCAGAACTTAAAGTAGTTTCTGACCTCAGATTCTCAAGTTGATGGTGTGGATTCTGTAAAAAGACACAGAGCGTCTCAACCCCCGAGTCCTGAAGCTGGTTCCAGCTGAGGTCCATCCTTTTCAGGTGGGATGGGTTGGAGTTCAGAGCGGAGTTCAGATAAAAGCAGCTGACGCCTGACAGTGTACAAGACTGCAACCTGAAAATAGGTAAATGAACACATTTGTTATCAACCAGAAAATGTCATCAGAGGACAAACCTGTACCATCTCACTATACTTTTTATTGACATTGAAAAAATGTGAAGGAAACAGTTTTTGAACGAACTTCAGGGTCTCTAATTGGCAATCAGGTCTCTCCAGAAAACCACACAATATTTTCACTCCTGAGTCTTGTAGGTGGTTCCAACTGAGGTTCAGGTGTCTCAGGTGGGACGGGTTGGACTTTAGAGCTGAGACCAGAGCAGAACAACTCTGATCTGTCAAAGTACAGGAGCTCAGGCTGAATAAAGAAACAAAGCATGTCATCTCTGATTATAACATCAAATTATTGTAACAGAAGAACACTTTCACTGCTTCATCTCACTGGTAGACAGCTAAACAACAACACTTTGTAAAACACTCCCCAACACAGAAGTCCACGGAGGAAATAGAAAATTACAATTGTCACAGGATTTTCCGATTTATTGGAGCCTCGTGTGGCCATTCATGTAACTGACACTAATATGGGATGTTTAAAGTAACTGATTTCTTTAACAGACTTTGGTCTAGGAGTGAGTTGTTTTTTTTAAAACTCCTGCTAAGTTTGGCTTTAATATGAGCCAGTGTCTGTAGTTTCCTAAGATTCCTTGTGTCTTACCTGAGTTTCTGTAGTTGACAGTGTGGACTCTTTAGAAAATGACACAGGTTCTCCACTCCTGAGTCTTGCAGCTGGTTTCCTCTCAGGTTCAGTAATCTCAAGTGGGATGGGTGAGACCCCAGGGCTAAGACCAAGGGGGCAAAACTAAACATTGTCAAACTGCACTCTATTAACCTAAAAAGTAAAAAACAGGAAATCTAGTGAGGTTATGTCAATGAGTAATTGGTCATTTTGTTTTAAAGTGAGGTTATGTAAATGAGTAATTGGTCATTTTGTTTTAAATTAAAAAGAAAATAAAAACTTTAGTATTTTACCTATGTTAGTATACTTTCTGCAAATACTGCAGTATTCCAACTGACCTTAAACTCTCCAGTCCACAGTGTGGACTTTCCAGGCCGCTACTTAAGATCCGTACATGTTTGTCCTCCAAGTAATTTCCACTGAGGTCCAGCTCTTTTAAAGGGGAAGTTCTGGACTTCAGAGCTGAGGCAATGACTTCACAATGAGTCTCTGAAAGTCGACAGCCAGTAAGTCTGATGGGAGAAAATAATATTTTACTACAAAAATACAGTGATCCATAGCCATAAAACTCTTTAATACCATGATCCGTATGTTCTCATGTCATCTCTGCAGAGTACCTGCATTGACACCTAAGGTGTTGAACTGCCAACAGTCTGGACTCACCGGGCCTTCTTGCAGTTCCTCACAGCTGAGATCAGTCTCCATCGTCCCTCCACTGATGTGTTGTACTTCTCCAGGTCCAACTCCTCCACAACCGTTTCTGACATTTGTAGCATGTAGGCCAGAGCTGAACAGTGGATCCCAGAGAGTTTCTGTAGTGTTCTGTTCTCCAACTTTAAAAACTGTTGAATCTCCTGATGCACTGATTGGTCCTTTATCTCTGTGAGACAGTGAAAGACGTTGATGCTTCTGCTGGGAGAAATATCATCCACGTTCATCTCCTTTAGATTCTTGATGATTCTCTGGATGTTTTCTGGACAGGTCTCTGTTTGACCTATGAGGTCTTTCAAAAGTCTCTGATTGGACTCAAGACAAAGGCCGTGAAGAAAGCGAACAAACAGGTCTAAGTGACTGCCGTCACTTTTAAGGTTTTTCTTCATGGCTGTTGTCAGAAAAATGGTCAACAGTAAATCAGCATCGGCCGTAGTTGTGAAATACCCAAAGAGCGTTTCAAACATGGATGGGTAGGGTAAAAGTGACTCAGATTTGTATTCTTCTTTTAAGAAACCCTGCAGTACATCTGTCTTCCTGTTGATGAAGCAATGAAACATGTAGACAGCAGCCAAAAACTCCTGCACACTCAAATGAACAAAACAGTAGATGGATTTCTGGAGGATCACACTCTCGCTCATGAAAATCTCAGTGCAAACTCCAGAGCAAACCAAGGCATCTGTGACATCCAGACCACACTGCTCCAGGTCTTCTTGATAGAACATTATATTTCCTTTCTCCAAGTGTTCAAATGCCAGCTTCCCCAGCTTTAGGAGAACATCTCTGTAAGTGTCATTGAGCTCCTGTGTCTTACTTCCCTCATGATACTTTATACTTTTCCTCCTCATCTGATCCAACAGGAAGTGTGAGTACAGGTCAGTCAGAGTCTTGGGCAGCTCTTCTCTCTTGTCTGTGGTCAACATGTGCTCCTGAACTGTGGCACTGATCCAGCAGAAGACTGGAATTCTACACATGATGTGAAGCATTGGGGAAGCTTTGATGTGTGAGATGACTCTGTTGGACAGCTCCTCATCTCTAAACCTCTTCCTGAAGTACTCGTCTATCTGGGTATCGGTGAAGCCACGCACTTCTGTAACCCTGTCCAAACATGTAGGAGGGATCTGATTGGCTGCTGCTGGTCTGGAAGTTATCCAGATGAGGGATGAGGGAAGCAGATTCCCCTGGATGAGGTTTGTCAGCAGCACGTTTACTGATGACATCTGTGTGACGTCATTCACAATCTCTGTGCTCCTGAAGTCCAGAGAGAGTCTGCTTTCATCCAGACCATCAAAGATGAACAGAAGTTTACAGTCTTTGAGCTTCTCTGGTGTGATCTTCTGTAATGTTGGATGGAAAACGTGTAGCAGTTTGAGAAGACTGTACTGCTGATCTCTGATCAGGTTCAGTTCCCTAAAGGAAAGGGCAACCACCAGACCCACATCCTGGTTTTCTAAACCCTCAGCCCAGTCTAGAGTAAACTTCTGAACCGAGAAGGTTTTTCCAATACCAGCAACACCATTGGTCAGAACGACTCTGATGGGTCCCTGCTGGTCAGGTCGTGGTTTAAAGATGTCACAGCACTTGATGGGAGTGTCAGAGATGGTTCTGGTTTTGGAACCTGTCTCAAGCTGCCTCACCTCATGTTGGGTATTGACCTCTTCATCAAGTCCCTCTGTGATGTAAAGCTCAGTGACGATCCTTTCCAGTAGGATTTTACTTTCTGTACAGTCAGTTCCTTCAGTTATGTGTTCACATCTTCTTCTCAGGTCAGTCTTATGTTCTTCCAGCACGTCTTGTAGATTTACATACACTAGGAAAAAAAAAATCACATCAACAATTCAATGGGAATGTTTATACTTTGGAGGTCCGATATTAACTTTTGCTGATATCTGATATGCCGATATTTTCCAAACACTTTTTGCGATTCTTAAGGATATAACATAATTATGCTAATATCAGGCTGATAATATCAATTGGCCAATATTCTGCTGATGGATTAGGAACAGTTAGTCAGTCAATCAGATTACACTTTTTAATTGTAAATAGTAAATGCTGGTGTTAACCCGTAACATAGACAAGTCCACTCAAGACAAAGTTTTAAATTTGCTGGGGTTTCTCGATGAATACTCAAAAGTCAAATAAAAATTGTACACAATATTCTTACTCTGTGCATTCACGGCTGATTGGTTCATTGATCTGTTTGCTTCTGATCTCTGTCCCCCCTGAGAACAGGTGGGGTCTCCAGGCTGGTCACGGTACAGAGCCCCCTGGAGTTTCTGACATGAACCACACTTGGACATCTCTTGCTCCACAGAGTCCAATCTAAGCAGACATGATCATTTACAGGTGAGTTTTTTATTTATTTTTACTGAAAGACCACTTTAATAAATAGAGGTTATTCGTACCCAGATTCATCCTTGGACCAGTCCATCTTTGGTCGGGGCTGAGGTTCAGTACTGAAGTTTGGGGGTTCTTCAATGGACCTGTAACATTGAAGAATATTACAGGACCCTTGGTTAATAATTAGAACTTATTCATAGTCAGATCAAATGACATCAAAGTTCCAAAGGCATTTCTTACCTCATGTCCAGGCATCCTGCCTCAGCTTTTAAGAATGGAGAATCTCTGGAACAGTCACCCTTTGCTGACTCTGCTTTGAGCCTAGGCATGGGTCTTGGTTTGTCAGCAAAGTATGGAGACCAGTCAATCTTTGGTCTGAGCTGAGGTTCAGTACTGAAGTTTGGGGGTTCTTCAATGGACCAGTCACTCTTCTCTGACTCTGCTGTGGGCTGCTGAGGTCTATGTCCAGATTCAATACCAAGGTATGCTGGCTCATCTTTAGACCAGTCACTCTTCACTGACCCTGCACTGGATTCAGGATTAGTACTAAATTCTGGAGGTAAATTCATGGACGATTCCTTTTTTAGTGACTCGTTGCCAGGCAACGACCACTCATCAATCTGACTGTGGTGTCTGCAAAGACAGAGGGAAAAAAAGAAATAAGTCTTTTTATTATTTTGTTTTATTTTTGGGCTTGGTGTGGGCTAATGCAGTGTTTACTCAGATGTCAAAGTTTGGATTTGGTACAGACTGTGTGTCTGTGAGATGGAGCAGTGAACATATAACAGACATCTTCATAGGACATAAACGGTTGTCTGTGAAGAACACACTTCCTGAGATGGGAGTGATTTGGACAGAAGTTTATGGCACTGGTATAAAAAGATTTGCCTTTGTTCAGGGGAAGAAGGGTTGGTGATTAACAAACAGGTAGTAAAAAAGTAACCAACAAAGACATGAAGCTGTAAATATATTGCTAAACTGCTGTAGACTCAGTGTCTACAGTCTGTGGATCACGTTGGTTCTGCTTCTATGTATCTAGTTTCCTCTTTATTTCTGTAAGTGGTTTTGACCACAGTAAACTGTAAAGGTTGCAGCACGTCAAGTTCAGTCACCAGCTTGTCTTCCTAGTTTCCAAGCATCGGTCTTAAACTGTTGATGATCTTGGAGGTAATTTAATTTTAACTTAAAAATGAATATGTCATGAATATGTGCAAATCATGTGTTCAGAATAATTAACCTGAAATGCATAGCCTGAAAATGTAAATGGCATGAGAAGTGTGGTAACCAGGTGAAGGAAGTAGTTGCAGTTTGGCAAGACAGCGGCGGCAATGCTCTTACTTTGTTCTGGACAGTTCAGTTTCCAAAAGGCATTGAAAGTCAGTTGTCTGGGCTGTTGGAAAGATGAACTGCAGCTGCTCTCCGTAGTCCGAGGCTTCCTCCTCATTATGGTCCATGTTCTGACCTCTGAAAGATTAAATGTTAAAACACACGGACAGCACTCCTCAACAGAGTCCTGACAAACAAGTCTGTACAGGAGTTTGCCAACATCCAGAAAGTACTTTCGAATTACTGCCGTGCAGGTACAAGCTTTGAAGGGCCAAAGTGCAACCAGATTTTTTTAATATTAAATCACACGTGTCTCAGTTTTATTGGTACAGACCTCCCAAGCAGTGTGATGAAATCACAATAAGATAACCCGATCATTTATGATCAGTTTTTGTTTTTTTCATTACAAGAAACCAGGATTTAGCTGCAGTGCCAAGAACTGTGCATCCAGAGGAACTAACGGAATTTATATATTTATACGACTGGAGCCGCTACCCAAACTAGGGGACAGTAGCTAGAACTACAAAAGTTTTCTAATAGAGGTGCAAGTTAGATAAACTAAGTAAAGGATCAGTAACTATGAGAATTTCTTTTACATAATGAGTAACTACAGGGAGTCTATTACTAGTTGTTTGATGCTGGTCATGGAGTCCAACCTCATGTCACCTGCCTTTGACCTGTAGTTAACCCTGAAACCAGTGTGCTGATTTGTTAGTGTATGATGACCCATGGCATTCTACAACACTGCACTGGTGCCCTCTTCTGGATTTTCTGTCATTTCCAGATTCTCCCCTCTGGAATGTGGTGTGCAATGAATTGGGGGGGTGCACATTATGAGCCGTGAATGGTCTGTTGGTAATAATGTGCTGTAAATTTAAGAATGATTAATCACTACATAATATAATATAAATCTAGTTTCCATATTGACAAAAGTAAAACTGGGTTTCATATACATGTTTTATTTTATTATATTTATCCATTTTTTATTCACAGTTTCCTAAGAATTTTTATTTTCCATTTTTTAAACATTTTAAAGATATTCAATATATTAAATGTTTGGCTTAGCTTAGAGTAAACAGATATGAAGGACTTACATGTTGTATGTTCTGCACTGACTAAGAAATCATGCAAATTCTACAGTAAATCTAGCTAACTGGACCCCCCTCTTCAATCCACTGTCTTTCAAATCTCAGTTGGAAATGCCACATAAAGCATAATAATCTGTTTCAATCTCAACCTGGATCGGGTTAGTTCCTGGGCCACCTAAGCCTTGGGGGTGTAAAGGTTTTAAAGGCGATGGCTGCTATAAACTACTGTGTGCACTCTGCTTTTCTAAAATTAGACTCAACAGCACAACATCTACATTTGGGGGGCATAAAACAGTTCAGCAGAATGAGTTGTTGATCTACATGGCAGGGATCCTGACTGTGGTGAAGGAATGCATCCATAAGAAGGCAGCAGTGCAAACGTCACAGATGCCAGTAGCCGTAAAAACACCAAAGAAGAATGAGGTGCAGCTAACCCAGAGTAAACACCAATACAAACCTAACTCTGTTGAGGTAGCTATTCCTTTTTCATGGAAACCGGAATACCTGAAGGGAAAAATCTTAAACTTATCCATGAGATCACTCTTCCCAGTCTCATACCGAAAAGAGCCTGAAGATGGCACTGCGTTGTTTTATCAGGTGAGCTTTGCAGGAGGCAGCAATGCACTGTGTAAGGTCTGGGTCTCCCCTCTCCATGCATACCAAGATCCTCTTAGAAGAGCCCCACTTTTTGCGAAGGTCTCTGAAGATGGCCTTGTCAAGGTTCTCTGCATTTCTTGGTGTGATCCTCACATTGTTGCTGTCGAGTTGAGCCCAAGTTTCAATTACAAGACCTTGAACAGTGGACTCCAAGTCTGTAAAGAAGGCCCTATCTCCTTTGACTGCCTTCCAGACTCTCTTGATGAGAGTTGTGATCACAAGTCTGAGACAGGTCTTGCTAACTTCTCTACTTGCAGTTTCATCTGGCTCAATCTTGGTTGTAAGAACAGTAAGCTCTTCCTGCTGTGGCTCAATATCCTCCATTAGAGGGATTTGTCCCGATGGGAGTGTCTCATTTTCCATCAGTGCACGAAGTACCTTGTCACTGTAGCGGGTGACTTGGTTTTCCAGCCACCAGTTCATTACTGAGAGGAAGCAGACGACTCTTTGACGTATATCTGCGTACATGCTGGCATATGGCTGTGGCTGGGATTCAAGATCACCCTCCTTGAATGCTTGTGGGACAATCTGTCCGGTGACATGCTTGTAGATGAGATCACTGAGTTGTTCTGTCAGTTCAACAACGTCATCCCGTGAGACATTCTCAAGTTTATAAGGCATACCTGGTTCCTCAACACTTATTTGTGGCTTGGCGATCGCCTGCAGCAAGGGCATTGCTTCAGCCAGCAATGCCCTGATTGCATCGCTATCTTTAAGGTTGGCCTCATTCTGGAACTTTGCCTTTACTTGTGAAAAGATCCGACAAATTGAGGCCTTGGCAAACATGGTCGCAAAAAAGTTCCCAATCTTTGTCCTCATTCCCTTTAGGCTCTCCTGCTGTTGGGTTATGGGGGTTGGATATACAGATTCAATCTCTTTTGAACTGATATACTCGTTGACAGACTGCGCAATTTCCTCCGCAGCAGTTTGAGTTTCCTGGGAGAACTGCTTTTGTAGTTGGTTGTACTCGGGATCTCCAACGTCCTCCACAATGGGCTCAATGATCAGATTGACCTTGACACTGAGGATGTCCTGGACCGATTGGGCGATTGATGATTCATTCTCACTGTCTCTGTTGGTAGGATCAGAGAGCTGCACACTGGTTTGCCGCGGTGGTTTTTTCGTGCAACACATCTTGCCTGCAAACTTCTTCAGCATTTTGCACACTGAGCGTATCATAGAGTTGGTTGGCTTGGGCTGCACTGGTCTCTCACTGCTGGCAAGAGCGATGACCTCCGTCACAATCAGATCTGTCAGCGCATCAGTGCTGGGACCTTGGACTGACTGAACGCCTAAGACTTCAGCAAAGCTTTGGGAGATGGAGCCATCCACGATATCACGCAAGTTATTTACAGAGGAATCTTGTTTTAAATACATGGACAGGGCATCCATGATGCTGTAAAGGATTTTCACCAGCATGTCTGCCAACCTGAGTCTGGTCGCGTTGTCGGGTTTTCCTGCAGCTAACAAGCTCCACTGTTCTGCAGTTAACCCTTTTGTGAAGGATTCAATGTGCGGCCGAATGGTGTCGACCCTCATATTCGCCACTTCTGTTGAATCCATGTTGATGGGTCAACTTGTTGTTGTCTTGATTCAAGTACCTCTCTGCAACTTGTCAAGTCCCTCGATTAACTCCTCAATCAATAGGTAGGAGTTATTAAGTTAGTTAAACTTTTGGAAATGTTAATTAACTGATGACATCACCAACACATCAAAGGAAAAATAATCAGACAAGCTTTAATGTAAATCTGGGTAACTACGATGTCATTTTATTTACAATCTTATCAGGGCAAGATGATCAATCTGTTTCTTCATTTCATTTTTCTTTCTTTCATTGTACTGTATACAAGTTATAGAATGAAGAAAATAATATATGATGTGGTCCCTCGTCTAAAAAACTGAAGTAGTAGAGATAGTTATTAGTATAGTATATTAATATATATAATATATATATTGATATATTGTTAATATATATATATATTGACTTATATATATTAACCCTTGAGACGCTTAAATGGATTAAACGCTTAATGGATTAAAAGCAGAGGCTCAATTCCGTTATATCCCCGTGTTACAATAAAGACTCATTTTATTCATTTATTTATTTGTATGCATGTGTGTTTGAATGTGTTGCAGCAATAGTTCCCTCGTCTGTTTCTTCACTGTCAACATGTGTTTCTAAACCTGTGATCTTGGCTGCCCTCATTCTTTTTTTAAGTGAGGAAGGCCGGAGAGGAAGTAAGGTTTTAAAATGTGGTTAACTTCTCACTTTTGTCATTCGAGTAGTTGTTGGTACTGTGTGATTATGGAGATGTGGACCATTTTCTTCTGTGTGCTTTTTCTTTCAGGTGAGCTCTTTATTCATTTGTTTATTCATTCTAATGGAAAATATGGTAAGTTTTTGGCAACGTATGTTTTAAAAATAAAAATAATTATTCTCCATATTTCAAGAGTAAATACTTAATACTTTAAAAATGCTCTAAAGCAGAATATAGTCAGATAAAAAAAAATAAACCAAACATTATGAATGCAAAAAAAATCTGTTTCAGAGGTAACTGAGGAATGCCAGAAATATAGCTAAAGACAAACTTTTTCTATAACTCCTAAGCTTTTCCAGATGTTAAATTTGAAACGAAGAAAAAAAACAACTCTAAATCTTTTTTATGTCTTCTCCATGTTGATGATCTTTCAGGTGTTTCGGGTGATTGCTCTACACACCTTAACATTACTGCACCATCGACTGTAACGACCCTGGCAGGATCCTGTGTGAAGATTCCCTGCACCTATAAACCTAATCCCTCAAGCTTCGAGCTGGGCAATCAAAATGTTTTTGCCGTGTGGATTAAAGGATTGGTCCAATTTGAACAGAAACCGCAGAACATAATCTTCAACAGCAGTGGTACAAGTGGCTACGATGGAACTATAGAAGGAAACCTGACAGACCTAAACTGCACCACTGTCTTTAAAAACTTTCAGACCAACCAAACGGATAAGTACTTCTTTAGGATTGAGAGGGATCCATTCAAAGCCACCGCTAATTGTAATCCTGTTAATATCAAAGTCATCGGTGAGAAAAACACACAGCATTTTATTATTTTTTGAGCAGCTGTATCAGGAAACGTGAAACCCGTGGTGATGATTTTAACTTGTCAACTTTTTTTTACATTTAACTACATACAGTTAACTATAAGTTTGTATTTTAGGAACCTTTTACACGAATCTTCAGAAACATGTTGAGACCTGAAGTTGTGCACATGTGTGACAGTGGTTATGAACAACAATAATAATTAACGAGAAAAAGGGTAACATTTCCTTGTCGGTTCCATAGTTTAGCAGTTAGCACAACGGCCTCTGAAGCAGAGAGCAGTCCTGGCTCCTCTTCCCAGTGGAACCACATACTTGATTGTTAATCGTCCTCTTTTAAGTCACCTAGATTGTTAATCGTCTGCTAAATGCAGCATCTGTTCAGTGTCTTATCTCTCTTTTAGAAAACCTGTTCTAGCAAAAAGCAGAAGTTTATAAGCTGTAACTCTTCTACACCTCCTACAGGTCCATACAAAACTTGCAAGTTTACATCACTGTACACATTTTAAACATTGACACCTACATGTACACAATTTGAATCAATACATTTCCTTTTTTTTTTTTATTTTACATTGCAGATTCTCCTCCAAGTCCCACCTTCAGCATATCACCATCTGACTCTCAGTTAAGGGAGGCGCAGTCTGTGACTCTCACTTGCTCAGCCCCCACCTACTGTCTTGAGTCCCCACCTAGACTCACCTGGACTCTCCAGGGACAGTACACCTCCCATCAGGTGCAGAAACACGAGACCTCAATCCACACGACCTTTGACTTGACCGACAAACACGATGGACTCCGTGTCACCTGCTCGGCTGGGTATTCAGTGAATGATGGCAGTGAGAAGTTGGCAGAGAGCAATGTGACTCTCAATGTTTCCTGTAAGTCCACCTTGTTGTTTTGTATTGCTTTTTGTGAGCAGTTTCCTGCCTCCTACTGATCAGTCTGGTGTTCTTCCTTACCCAGATGCCCCTAAGGAAACATCAGTGTCTGTGAGTCCATCAGATGGGCTGTCACCAGGCAACCAGGTAAACCTAACCTGCTCTAGCAGAGCCAAACCCACTGTTAGCCAATTTGTCTGGTTAAAGAGAAGTCCGGATGGAACCCAGACCGAGATAAAGGGACCAGTTCTTTACAACATAATTTTGGCTGAAGGAGAGGTTTATGTCTGCATTGCTGTCCACGATTTTGGAAACCAAACATCTGCAGAGATCCGTGTCACAGGTAAAGAAAGGTTTACTGAAATCATTAGTAGGAATCATCTCAACCAGCAGGGGGCGACTACTAACTACTATTTTGAAAGGAGTGCAAGTGAATGGAAGTCTATATCAGGATAAGGAATCTACTGATACAGTTGGCAGGCTCCATTTTTTTAATCTATTGTTCAATGTCATGGGCTAAAAAGTTTTATATTTTTAAACATTTTCATCACTATTTTCTGCAGTAAATACAATAAGTCTATCACTGACAAGCTAACAGACAAACTTGACATATGGATATCCTGTCAATTCTCATTTGGTCTTTCTGTTTTGGTCAGGAGGACCTCTAGAATGGACTGTAATTGTTGGAGCAGTCTTTGGGTTTGTGGCTCTTGTTGGCCTCATTGCCTTCATCTCTTTTTGGTAAGTTACACCTCTCTGGAGCAGGTGATGTCACAGCTAGGCCTTATAGATAATAAAATAATTTTGTGTCTTTCAGGTGTTTGAAGACAAAAGCACAGAATCAGGTGAGGGAAATAAGAAGCCACTGGTAGTTTACAGAAGCACTGAGTGTTTGTCCACCTCACATTTTCATCTCTGTACTTTTAGAATGAAGCACGTGCAGAGTTGACTGCACAAAAAGATGAAGAAAACATCCATTATGGAGAAATCAACTTTTCCATATTCAAATCTAACACGTCCTCCCCTTCATCACACACACTGCAGGATAGTGAACAGCAGGAGGACACAGTGTATGCGCAGGTCAATAAGACCAAAACGCCTGACAGTTGAAGAAAAAGAAGCAGTGATATCCTTTGTGTGTGGTAAAAAATTGTTACGATTTAAGAAATACTGTAGCCGTTAACTTCATTTTCAATCCAATGTGGAACAGATTCCTACCAAACCATACACATAAAGTGACATTATTGTTTGTTGTGTGCTTAATCAAATGTCTTTAATTATTATTTTCTTAGTACGGAGTTTCTCACAGCGAATTAAGCAGTTTTTATTGTATTAATTATATTATTTTTATTGTTTTTGTCTTTTTATTGTTTTGACATGGGGTTTATTGTTGTGGTTGTTGTTCCTTGTTAGACCACAGGGTGACACTGTAACCTTACCGTTACTGTAATCAATTCCCTGAAGCTGACAAAAAACGTACCTGCTGTTTGTGAGGTCACTTATTTGCCCTTACAGCTTTGTAAATATATATATATATATATATATATATATATATTTATATATATATCACTATATATATCACTTTTGTCTAATGAATAAGAAAAAGAAAAATTAGCGATTTGACATTTAAAAAAAGACGTTCTCTTAGTTATTTTTTTAATGTATACTTGTTTTCTTGCGTGTTTTATGTATAATATTTTTTGTCTTTTTTTGCATTAACGGTACACTAGTTCAATATATTGATTTAAGGAAGTTAACGCTTCATATTTTACAGCTAAAAGACGGGAATCAAAAAATGAATTTGCGTTATTTCTCCCTGAAAAACACGTTTTCAAATTATATATTTTGTAATTATATGCCAAAATAAGTCTTTTTTTAAAAAAAAAAATCCTCTTCTTCTTCTTTTGCCACGTTTTTGTTCCTTTCCAGAGAGAGGGAAGATACCGGGAAGCAGAGCAGAATTGTGATTGGTGAAAACCGCTGAGTGCCCGATTTATGTCCCGCGTACCAGAAAAATACTAGGCTCCCATTGGTGTAGTCGAAAGCTTATCACGGTTACTATGGACTTTGGCTTTGCTGGTATCCAAGTGAGGACGTGATTTTAGTCAAAGCTGCCGTTTCTTCAGTGAGACCGTGCTGCGGTGAACAGCAGTGTCTTTCCTCGTTTTTCTACTGAGTCACGTTACCGGAGCCCTGCTAAAAACACACGGTGGAAATAACAACAACAATGGTGCAGAGGAAAACTAAAATTCAACCCAAAAAAGGTCAGTTCGTGGTGTTGTTCGTCTCGTTTGCTATGCGCTTTCGTGCCCAAAGTGCACATCTCTTTTATATGTTTTGCTCATTTAAAGTTGGGACATTATTTAGTCCGAACAACACTTAAAACGCGAAGGAAAGTGACTGCGTGTGAGGATGTAGTCTCGCGTTCAGTTAATATAACAATGTAGCAGACACAACACAAACAGCTGCTCCAGCCGCGATTCCCACGACCATCCTAGAAAAAAACAAACAAACACTGGGCGTTTTAAAGCTACGTCAATTAGCAGTTGAACTGTAAACTTCGTAAAAGTAAGCGTTTTTCTTGTGCTTCTTTCGCACCGAATTGATTATGACTGGGTTTCCTTTCGGGACAATGTCCTGGTTATTGCCTGTTTTTTAGCCGTATGCTCCTGCTGTGTGGTATTGTGTACAATTGGCATAGTTATGAATTGAGTTTGGTTTGACAGTGTTAAGCCATGTTAGCTAGCTTGTTCGGGATATAACGCCAACGACGTGAAAGAGGTAAACAGTACCAATTGTTACAAAATTGTGCAGTCTATACAAGAGACGATTCTTATCGAGCTTTTTTCATAAAACTGGTCTCGTATGTGGTGCTAGGCTACATTAGCCCGCAATAACCTGCTAACAGAATGTTGTTAAACTGCAGTATTATAGTTTTCAAGATATCAGACGTTGTTTAGGCTGAATTACTTTCTGTAATTACTGCCTGGAATTATATTCCAACATTGTACTATTGATTATGGACAAGTTTGTTCAAATGTGGACTCAGTAACTGATGAAATTAACGTTAATTCATGTTTAAAACCTGCAACTGTTAAATGCTTTAGACTAATTTATTTATGCATAGGTTATTAGTCAGTTAATCGTTGCAGTCCTTATTTGTCATCTCTGTGTGACCTTGAAACAAAGTGGTTCTTTGTCACTTGCTTTGTTAACAGTGTTTTCTAAAGAAAATATTCTTTCTGCTCAACATGACAGTGGACACAAATGTTAGCCTCCAGCTATTACTTTGACTACTGTGGACTACTGAGGGATCCAACATGGCTGCCTCCACATAGAACACCCACTTTGAACGTAGCTATAGACAGGGTCAATAAAACAAACTTTTAAAGATACAGTGTACTCATATTATGGTATAACCTCATGATAATTCTGACTTCGATGTGTTTATTGTGTTAAAACATTCAACTGTGGCTACTGCAATGACACGTTGTTCTAGTTTCTCTGTTCCCTCTATGACAGTTAACTGTCAACAACTGTCAACACTTTAACATTTGAGAACAATTTCTTTTTATAGGCTTCTCGCCCAAGAATCACTATTATTAATACTTTCTTGTCCTCCTGGACAAACACATGGTCAAGGTGATATATATATATATGTGTGTGTGTGTGTGTGTTCCTCTGTCCTCCCTGACAGCACACACACACACAGCCCTGGGTTTGTCAGCTCTAATAATAGTGTGGGTCAGTTTCAGCAGGTGTAGAAAAGAGTTCTTCCTCTGTCATTCTCTTACCACAGCTTTATCTCGTGTCTCTGTTTGTCTGTTTTATTTTTTTATTTTGTGCAACTATATTTTTTCCTCCTTTTTGGATTTATCTTATTGCTACACTGTTTTGTCTTTTTTGTGAATTGTTTTTGAGAACGATATCACGGCAGAAGACCTTGTGATTTTAATTTTTATTCATACTTTTTATCGTTATTCGTGTGTTTTGCGTGTGAGATCATCATCATCATCATCATCAACGGCTGCTTTCTTCTTTCATGACTCTTTGATTTTTCTGCCGGCTTTCCTACTTTCCCGTGTCAAGCTCGATGCAGGGGTACCGTCGCTACGGAGCACCCTACTCCACAATTTCCTCCTCCTCCTCCTCGTCCTCACCTTCCTCCGCTCCGGTAGAGGAGGTGAGTGCTGAGGAAGAGGTGTTTGAGGAGGAGGAGGAGGCAGAAGAAGAACGGCAGTTTGTGGTCCAGGAGGCAGGTAGGAGCTAGTTAGTGGTGTTTAACTGACCAAGTTCAGCTACTGTTGGATTTGGTTTTAATGTGCCCTGGTCTGGCTTGGATAGGGGGCGATGTGGAGGAGGAGGAGGGCAAGATTGAACAGATAAAAAGGGAAGTTTTATCAGCAGTATCAGACAAAGGTAGGATGAACTCCTACTTGTTTTCTGCCTAATAACAGTAATATATAGAAGGCACGTTTTTGTTTCAAACAAACAAAAACAAGTTCTTGGCAATTATTACTAATATTTTTATTTGTACCCTCTGAGTTCACAAAACGATTGTGACAGGCTGGTGATGTTCATAATCCTTCATACCTGCCAGTTACACAATTCACTCACCTTTACTTTTTTTACAAAGTCAACATCAAGATCAACTGAAGAGGACGTAGAGGAGTTACTTGTGTGTGTGTTATCCTATGAAGCTAGCCTCATTTTACCATAAACTTCTTTTGGACACACAATCATTTTGGGCCTTTTGTTTTTAGTGGATAATTAGTAGAACAAATCCTGATCCTGACTGTAAAAAATATTCCTCATGAGTTCCTTGGAGCTTGACAATCTCTTGTAAAATACTCTGGGTTTTTTTTTTTGTTTGTCTTTAGCGTGTTTGATTCTACTGTACGGTATTGTGTTGGACGTAAAAGAATGAAACTGCCGTTGTGAACTGAAGACATTTCTCTCTGGAGTTCTGGACGACCAACAGCTGCTCTCTGTCTCTCTCTCTCTCGCTCTCTCTCTCTCTCGCTCACAGACAGTGACATGTTTCATCTATTTCTCTATTCCTGGCTCGCACTGCCCTTTGCACCTTTTTACATTGTTTTTCTTTCTGCTCTCATCTAAACATAAATATTTAAACATGTAATATTGAATATAAAAGTCTTTTTTAAGTTGTATTGTTTTTGTATTCATACATAAATATCTTCGTAATAAAAAATGTAAAATAAAACGTAAAATAAAAAAACAAAAATAATTTGACCTATAAACCTGAGAGAAAAAAAAAACTACATTCCTAAAGAAATGATCTAAAGACTCTAAAGTTGTATTCAGAGAGTCTTCCTTGTGTGATCTAATAGAAGGTAAAAACATTTACATTTAGTAGACACTTTTATCCAAACTAACTTACATGAGGAGTTTTAAGTATGCGGTTCCACTGGGGCTCAAACCCAGGACCTTCTCCTTGTGAAGCAGATGAGGTAGCCACTACACTAAAGAACACCTTTTTGGTCATGTGTTTTCAGAGACGATTCCATCGTCCGAGGAAGTCAAGAATGGAAAGAAAAGAGAAAGCAGAGGAGCAGACTCGGCAGCAGCAAGACCAGGAGGAGGGATTCCAAAATCCTCAGTGTTCACCTGGTTTGTGGTCCTGGCCCTGCTGGGAGTGTGGAGCTCTGTGGCCGTACTCTACTTTGACATTGTGGACTATGACCGAGTCATTGGTGAGTAACCAGATGAAAAAACAACAACCATCTTATTCCCTTTATTTTTACAGTGAAAAACAGGGCTGATTAAAGACACTCGACATAAGATGCATCAACCATTACTAACCATGACATCACATCCTGCATATTTCATGTTGGTGTTAAACAGTAATAATAATAATAATAATAACTTTTCAACTACTAACTGTCTCAATAACGGTCCATAAAGAAGATTTTTTTTTTGGGTGTTTTGAAATTCAAAATTGACTTAAATTTGCAAATTAACACGTAGATTGATGATGAGATTGTGTTGGCAGTATCAAGACACCATCAAAATGACCTTTTTGATGAATAAAGTAACAATGTTTTTCACTTTTCACCTGTGCCTTAGCCTTTTTAGAAGAAAGCTTTTCTTTCTACTCTCTCTCTCTGTCTCTCTCCTTCACAGACACACATACAGACAGTGTGGTTTCATTTCATGTCGACTAGACATCAACATCAAAAGAAACTGTTGTCTGTGCTTTGCTGAACATCCAGTAACTGGTGGCTGACCCTCCCCTGTCTCTACTCTTCTCTTCCTCCTGCCTCTCCTCCTCTTCCTCCTATGTCTACATCTTTGTCTTCCTCCCTCCTTTCTGCATGCAGCCAGAGCTCAGGAGTTTCACATGAACTTTTCTGACGTTTTACAAGGTAACACTGCAGTCACCTCTTGTCTCATCAACTTTGTGTAACCAAGCAGAAGGAGAAAGAGGAAGGATGTGGTGATTTGATCAGTGCTAACGATAGTTGACTCAGACCAAAGTTGTGACACAATGAAAAACTCAATCTAGTTGGTCTTTTTCTTTTAACATATATATATATAAAGTATTTTTGCATATTTGTCCAAAATATAAAATTAAAATATTTTTTCAATACCTACTGTACAGTATTAAAATAAAATTGTTATTAAAATCTTTGTAACAAAGATAGATTTTATTTAATCCGCCCTTTACCTCCTCCCCCAGGTAAACTGAAGGCCTACGACTCAGATGGAGATGGAGACTTTGACATCGAGGATGCCAAAGTTCTGCTTGGTGAGTTCACTTTGTCCATAGTTTGTTAGTCTGATTTGTGTAGTGTGCATAAATATGTGTCAGTGCCTCGGCTTGAGAACCAGCTGTAACGTCACTCCATTCATTATTGATGGATTTTAAATCGGTGGTTTGCGTTTACACAGACTGTACCCATAGAAGCAGCAATAGACCAGTGTGTTTATTTACTGATGTGTTTGGGTAAAGGAAGTAGAGGAGTCATCTGTTTGTTGGATTCTGCAGTTACATCTGTCACTGACTATTGAATAATTCCAGACTTCAGTGTCTGGAACATGTAGTGAACAAAATCAACACCTGTTTAACTGTCAGATTGAAGCAGAGGTTAAAAACTTTCAGTGCATGAAGCAGTTTGGTTTGTCACCTTAAAGACAGACAGGAAGAGAAAGCTGCGTCTCTGTCGCCTGTGGTTGGTTTCTGACTGATCTCACTCTCTTTCTCTCTCTCTCTTTTTACTCGCTTCATCTTTTGTTTTTCATTTTTATTGATGTTAATCCTTTGTTAAACTTTCCTTCCTTTTTCTTTTGTTTCCTTCTACCTTCCTTGCTTGGTGCCTCCTCCTTCAACTTTTTTGTATTTGTTTTTGTTTCACCTTCATCTTCCACCTCTCTGTGTTTTCTTTTTCTTTTTCTCCCTTCTCTTTTTCATCAGGCTTGACCAAAGACGGCAGCGATAGCACGGGTCACACCGAGTCTCTTGAGGATGTTGTCAGTATTTTAGCTGAGGAGGGCTCTGATTGGATCTTTGGCTTCTTCACCTTTCTCTATGACGTAGTGTCTTCACCTGTAGAGCAGCACAAGGAGAAGGAGAGTGGGAATAAGGGTGGGATGGCCTCCCAAAATAATGAAGAGGTCCAAGACCCCAAACTAGACCTTTAGAACTAATAGAAGATTGAAAGACGGCGTCACAGCCAGGAGCGAGGCTCTCTGGTCTTCAATCAGGACCAGGTTTCAAAATGCTTTGGTTCTGAGGACTGCAGAGTGGTTTTTGTTGCGGGGCAGGGACCAGTTTTTACTGTAGGACCAAACTGGGTCAGGACTAGTGTGAGTTAGCCCTTTCCTTTGTGCAGGTTTTGAGCTTCTTTTTTAGTAAACGGAAAGGAAAGGTTTTATGTTCATAGCACAGTAGCTCAGCATCCACTCAAAGGTTTTGTTAAACACAACCACAGTCATACTAATGGTAATAATAACAATAAGAAAAACGTGAATTAAAGACTTTTTAATTTTAGTTTCATAAGAGTCTGTGTTGGAAGAGTTAAACATAAACACCCTGCGAAGATGAGTTTTCTTTTGCTTTTCCCACAACATTTGAAATCATGGCTGCAACATTTTAGTGTTTGTAGTGGCGCAGATGTCAGGCATCACTTAAGTCATTGATGCTTGGTGATGTTTATGGTCAACACCCATCACCAGACTGGGACAACTTTGTGTCCAATGCTGCTCCATTCACACACCATTGGACAAATATGAGATCGCCAATAAAAATGAGAGCTGGGTTTGTGTTCAGTTTGAGCTCATTTTGTTTTTGGTGTGATGGACTTGATCTCCAGACCAAACCAGTGCTACAGTATGTGTGTTGTCTTAGAAAAGAAAACAATAAAAAAAGATTTTGATTTAAAGATTTAGAAGGTAGACACGTCCCACACTCTGTGTTTATGTTTGGTTTATGTTCCACTTTAGTGTTTGCGTTCACTTTTGATTCAGTTCACCTGTACATTAAAAACTAAACGTCTTTGCGACTTAAATAATTTGTCCCCTGTTTCTCAGAAAAGACAGAAGGGGGCGAAGCTACCAGAGCGAACACAACCCGAGGTATTAAAGGTTGATGTTGCATGTCCAAATAGTGTCGTGGTATTTGGTTGTTGTGGAAATAGTAACAACTATTTTAACACTATATAAAGCATTTTCATTCCCGAAAATTAATTCCTTTGGGTAATTTTTTGTTTTTTGAAATGTTACTAATACGTAAAGATGACAAGCAAAATAACGATACAAGAAGAAACTAAAGTTCTGAGTTTTCTCCCATGGAAGAAAATCAGCTCAAGTTTATCTGTGTTTCTCCAGTGTTTTCACTGGCTGCATCGTTAACACCTTCGTGTTTGGTCTGCAGTGTATCATCACTTTAATAAACACTGAGTCAGCATGTTTCCTTTCCTCCTAATAATGGGTGCTGATTTGTATTTTGTTTTGTTGTTGATGTTGTCAATGGCTCAAACCCTAAAACGGTCACTTTAAAATCGTAGAGCATCCAGCCCGAGGGCTGCTTCTACGTTCAGCTTTGAAAGAAGATCTTAGGATAATCCATGAGAAGATGGAGGCTAAGAGGATCGCTCGCATCGCCCTGGCTGTGATTAGAGAGCTCCTCACCGAAGAGGAGGAGCAGAGAGAGGCAGTCTGGGTGATTAGGATGAAGGAGCTCGAGGTTGCACAGCAGCAACTGAGGGAGGAGAGGAAGAGGATAGCGGAAGAAGAGGAAAGGATAAAGATGGAGAAGGAAAGGCTGGAAAGAGAAAGGGCAGAGAAAGAAAGGATGGAAATAGAAGAGGAAATAAAAGTAAGAGTGGAAAATGGAAAGGTAGAGGAAGAAGGTGTGGAAAAACAGGCAGCAGGGAAGGAAATGGAAGGGGAAAATGCAGTGGAAATGAAAACAGAAAAGGAAGAGACGGAAAAGATTGTGGAAGAAAAAGATGGTTTAATAAAATTTGATATGGAAGAGACACAAAAGGAAAAGATGGAAAAAGAAAAAGAGGCAAAGAATGAGATGGAAAAAGAAAATACAGAGAAAGATAAGATGGAAGAAGAAAAATATGAGATGGAAAAGATGGAAAGAGAAAAGGCACAAATTGAGCAAGAAAACGCAGAGAAAGCTGAAAGACAGAGAGTGGAGATGGAGAGCCTCTGCAAAGAAATGATGATTAGAGAAGAGAGGGAAAGACTGTTACAGGAAAGAATGGAACATGTTGAAGAAAACAAGAGTGTAGCTGAAGAAAAGATAGGGATGGAGGAAGAGAGACAGGAGAGCGCTGGCATGGCTGAAGAAGGAAGGAGGATAGCAAACGAGGAGACGCAAAAGAACGAACTGATCACAGAACAAGAAAGAGTTGAAAAAGAAATAATCGAGAAAGTGGAACCAGAGTTGGAGAGGCGTGAACAGGAAGAAAATGCTATGGAAAACGAGAGAATAGATAAAGAGGGAATAGAAAAAGAGATGCAGGAGGAAGAAATAATTATTAAGGAAAGAGCACAAATGGAGAAGGTTGATTTAGATCACATTACTGAGGAAAAAGAGGTAAAAGAGCAGCAGGAAAGCCAACAATTAGATGAAATCAAGGAAGGAGAGGAGAGGGAAAGATTTGTTCAGGAAAAACACGAGGTTGAGAAAGCGAAAAATGAAGAGCAGGAAAAAGAACAAACAGAAGAGTTGGAAAAGGAGGAAAATGAACAAATTGGTTGTAAAAGACCAGACATGGAAAAAGAGGACGAAGCCAGAGAGAAGGAAAAGGTGGTGATAGAAGCTAGAGAGGAGGAGGACAGAGAAAGACTGGAAAATGAGCGCCTATCCAAGGAAAGAGCAAGAATTGTGCAGGAAAAGGAGAGATTAGAAAGAGAGAAGGCAACAAAAGAAAGACTGGAGAGAGAAAAAGTTACAAAAGACAAAGAAAGGATGGAGAGGGAACCAATGGGAAAGATGACCAGTGAAGTCAAGAAGGACAAGATGGAAGAGGGAAGACTGGTGAAAGACAGTATCAAGGAGATGACGGAAGAAAACGTCATGAACAAAGAAAAAACCATGCACGTAGCATCAGGTACGGTGACGCGGGAGAGAACAGACCAAGAACATTCCGAGGCAAAGGTTAATGTCCACAGACAAGAAATATCAGAAAGGAAGTCAAATGTATCTCATCCTAAAATGTCAACAGCTGAGGAGAAAACCAAGAACATCACCGTAGGACAAGACATCCTGTCAAGAAAACAGAGTATTCTTCCGCCTAAAGCTCCAACAGAGGTGGGGAAAATCAAGAACATCATTGTGAGTGGACCAGGCATGGAGTTAAAGAAACCAGATATTTCTCAAATCAAAGCTTCACAAGTAGAAGAAAAAACCGGGAATGTCGTTGTCAACAGAAAGGTTGTTCAGAAGAGGAAACCAAACATTTCTCCAACCCAAAGTCCAACAGCAGAGGAGAAAACTAAGATCAGTGTTAGTGTAAACAAACAAGACGTCCCATTAAAGAAAACTAAGTCTGCAACATTGGAGGAGAAAAGCAAGATGGCCGTTGTCAACAGACCAGATGCTCCGAAGAGGACGCCAACTAAGTCTCCACCTAAAGCTCCAACAGCGGAATCAAAAACTACATTTGTCAACATCAACAGACAAGATATTCAGACGAGAAAACCAGATTTCTCTTCACATAAAGCTCCAACACAGGAGGAGAAAACTAAGAATGCCAACGTCAGTCTCAGCAGACGAGACATTTCGCTCAGAAAAACAAATATTTCTCCACCTAAAGCTCCACAAGCAGGGTTAAAAACGATTCAAACAAGGAAACCAGATACCGTTTCACCTAAAGCTCCAACACCGGAGAAGAAAACCAAGAATGTCAACGAAGGTGTCAGTGGACGAGACATTCCACTGAAGAAACCAAACATTTCTCAGTCAAAGTCTAAAACTTTGGAGGAGAAAACCAAGGTTGTTCTCAAAAGACCTGTTATTCCAACAAGGAAACCATATAATTCTCCGACTAATGGTCCAGTAGGAGAGGGCGGAACTAAGAAGGTGTTCACAGTCAGGAGGACGACAGAGGGAATGTCTGGTGCAGACATTGGGAAGAAACGATAGTACAGCAAATGTTACAGGAGCAACAACTCTCAAAAACAAATTTTTTAATGAACATTTGAGGAAATGACCTGTCTGAAAAAGCAACTGTAAAATGAGCAGGAGCTCTGTATCATCACCACGAAGATCATTGTCCTCCAGGCTGATTGACAGAGTCAATCTTCAAGGTCAAGCCTTGAATATTTTGAAAGTATTTTTTGTTAGAAATGTTAGAAATTTACAGTAGTCGTAGTGTAGTTGCATAGTGGTTGTAATGGCTTTAAGAAATTGTTTTGTTACCATACAAGATTTGGTCATTTAGTGTGTTGTGGCTCAGTGTGTCATCAAGAGAGTGCAGGTTCAAATCCTGCTCTTTGTGTTCGATCACATATATCTGTATCTGCATCTCAGTGAAATCCTCTGGTATGCCTTCAGTACTTTGAATGTACTATAGGGAAGAGCAGGAACAGAACAGTAACAGCAGTGACAGTAGTACGTAGATACTGTTTGGTATCCAACCTAAAGTTTGTGAAGTCTTATGTTAGCTTGGATTATTACCAAACCCTCTACATCTTAGGTGGTGTGTGCTTGTCGTCTACACCCACCGACTGCATTCGGAACACTGTGGTGTTGAATCTGTGTTGACGAATCGGGAGGCCAGACCTTTTCCTTTCCCCTTTTAACTTGATCGTCTCTCTGTACAACAGCGGAAAAACAGCGAGCAGGATTAATAACAGTTTCATGTTACAGTGACTCTACTGTTCTTCACAAAGATAACAGTTGTGTTATTTAAAACCTCCCCATGTCAAAAAGAGGACACACCTCACTTTGTCTAAGAAAAACATGTGGTTTAATGTGTGATTTAGCCCTTTTTCTGTAGCTGCTGGTCTACTGCTGCCTCCTGTGGTCTGTTTGTGTCAATAAAGGGAAACTTGAAAGAATTCTTAGTGAACGCTGAAATGACAACAGAGATCAGCTGAGGTTTTCTTAACGTATTTACTCCAATGTCTATAGATTTATATTATCAGATGTGAATTCAGTAGTATTTAATATTTGTTTCCTTTTAATGTCTTCTGTCCAGAGTTATTTCCGACCACTTACATCAAAATAATCTGTTGTAAAGATTGTTGATTAAAAATGTGGGATTACAAATGGAGATTCTTTGTCTGTGTTTCCCAAAGGTGGGATGGTCCACAGTTATTAAATGAAATTATTATTGTCATGTGAAAGAGGGTTTACAAAAGCAAATAGTAAAAAAAAAAAAATGTATTAATGAAGAGAGGCCCCCTGGTGGTTAATCAATTAAACTGCAACTACCCTCAGGTCATTGTGGATGCACTTTGGATTTTTTTTTTTTTTTTGGCACTCACTTGGGAATGAAAGAGAACACACCACAGCACCACCCAGTCTTCCTCGTTGGACAATACTATCACACTCTGACACATTTTCCTCCTCTACGTTCACTTCCTTCCCCAGATTTGTGATCGTGGAGCTGCAGCTCCTGACTGTCCAGATATGTCGAGCTAAACGTTTGGTTACTGAGCAGAGGCACTGCCACATTAAACTGTAATCCCACATCAGTGTGTCACAATTTTTGAAGTGACACAGAACAGCAAACGTAAAGTCTATATGTTGAATGAAACCTTGGAAATGGATACGTTCGTGTGTGTGTGGTGTACGTTGTATTTTATGTTGCGTATAAACCATTCAACAGGACTGAAAGAGGCACAAAGAGCAGTGAGAAGTTCACCAGAGGATAGAACAGGTGAGGACACACACACACACACACACACTCTGACCTGTAACCTGAGAAAAGCCCGTCTACACCTTGTTCCCACTCAACCTCAGTTTAAAACACTCATTCCCAGCTCAGAGTGTCAGCTCCTCCCTCCACTGTTTAGTGTCTGCTGTGTTAAATGATCCAGTCAGTTTACTGTACACATAATGACTGCTGACTGTGCCGTGATCGCCTCCTGCTGTTAGACCCAATCAAATCTTTATCTATATGCGTTTAGCTTTTAAGACCAAAAACACTTTTATCACAACAGAACAGGCCAACAAGTCCAACCACATGGTAATTGGTCAAACTTTCAAGTCGTACAAAAATAGTTTTTTTTTTACTTTTATCTACCAAAAAAGTCTTAACCAATTAGAAATAAATAAAAAAGAAAAAATGCAGACTGAGGATATGAACACATCACCATATACTTGTAGTTGCAAAATGGCTGCTTTCTATGGCGCAGGATAATCCACAGCAAATGTACAGTATATATTTACAGAGAAAACCCATGTTTTTTAACCATCCAATCAGCCTCAGCCATGTGTCCATAGTGAATCAGAATAGAATGTGGTTTTACAAATGGACTTTTTTTTGTTGGAAATCTCTGTAAAGCAATGACACAAACTGTTCCTTCATCTTTTTCTGTTTTCTTTATAGCTAAAAAAGTGACTGAGCCTGTGGTAGAAACAGCCAATCAGCAGGCCACAAAGAAGCAGGAGGAGGAGGAGGAGCCACAAGATTCGTTACCTGAATATGAGCCTGAACAGACAGAGTCAGGTACATGTTAGTTTTTTGTTTGTTTTTTTTCAACTTTATCATTATTTTCTTTTTACCACTGCTGGGTAAATTTAAACTCATGTGTCTCCTCTCTGTGTCTGAAATAGTCCCAGGATCCGAGGACATTGAGTCAGAAATCCAAGGTTGGTCCTGCCTCACTTTCTCTGTCTCCCCGTCTCCCCCTTTTCTACCGGGTCCTTCTGTTTGTCTTTACTGTTCAAATATGTTACACAGATGTAAAGTGTTCAAAATGATCACAAACAAAGACGTTAAACTCACCAGCCTGATTGACTGAGAACGTGTATTTCTGTAAATTCAAAGTCATAATTTATATACAATATTGGAGTAATCAGTGGCAATCAAGTCTTTGTTGCCCTCTAGTGGACACGAAGCGTAACACGTAGTAGACGTTACAACAACCCAGACGGGTTAAATGGGAAATGTTTAGGTCAAACTAAATGTGAAAATAAAAAAATAGGAATAATCATAAACACAGACACATGGTGTTTACAGATGTTTATTGATCTGTTTGTTTGCAGCTCCTCAGCCCCTCCCTCCTATAGTGCAAGACGATTTTATACCAGGTCAGCTAAATTCCTCCTCGTCTCACTCTTCTTACTAATCCTAATGTTATTCTTTAGTTTTTTTTCAAACATATTTTTGTGTCGTTTTTCTTCTATTTTTAACTATTTTTTTCTTCATGAAAGATCAGTGTGAGTGAAATCAATTATCATTTTATTACAGATGATCCACGTGACAGTCTTCATCCATACGGTTGGTAATTTATTTTTTGTTTTTGTTTTTATACTTTCCGTGTTCTTATTTTTGCTGTTTTCTTATATTTCCTCCATGTTCTTATTTTTGCTGTTTTCTTATATTGTTTTGTGTTGTATTTGCTTTTATTCTTGATCTCCAGATGATGACATCGGTTCCATCGACACCACCGGAGGTTTCAATTTATTTATTAACTTATTTATTTTTACTGAAATGATGATGTTTCTGCTTTTAACAAACACATTTCATCTGATGAAAATGTTTTTGTAGCTTTGTTGACGGAGCCACCGCCGCCAGCAGAGAGCGCAGGTGAGTTTGTCTGTCAGATTTTAAAGCTCATATTGTGTTTTTGTTTTTAAAAAATGGAATAAAAAACGAAGTAAATCTAAGTTTAAGTCTTAGTTAAATATGATGTAAAATTCACATTTAAGATGCTTATTGTTTGTTCTTCAGTGGAGTCAGGACAATATGAGACCAGCTCCAAGTTTTCACAAGAAGCAGGTAAATATGGAAACATCTAACGTGATTTTTTTTTTCATTTTAATCCTGACTGAGTTTTAAAATGACGTCTGAAAAAAAAAACATAGCTCTGAAAAAAGTTTCTTATTCAAATCTTGACGTGTGTCAGAGGTCATCCAGGAGGTGAAGGACTCGGAACCAACGACTGAACCAGAACCAGAACCACAGGGTGAGACGCACAGAGAGGCTGAAGGTGAGAACTCTTTACTACACACATACAGACACACAGAATATTTGTATAACACAAGTTGGTGTGTGTTTTTGTGTGACAGAAATAACGGAGAAACAAACTGAGGACAAACTGAAAGAAAAAGGTAAAAAGAGTATATTTCACCTCATTATTTTCGTTTCGTTTTCCTGAGCCTTTCCTCTGTCGTCTTCTCTCACAGCAAAGAAGAAAAAGCCGAAACTGTTGAATAAGTTGGACAAAACCATCAAAGCGGAGATCGATGCAGCAGAAAAGCTTCGGAAGAAGGTGAAAATGAACGTCTTTTTATTTAAAATATCTACAGAGCAAAACGACCAAAATCTTCAAACCTGTGTGTTTCTGTTTCAGGGTAAAGTAGAGGAAGCTTTAAAAGCCTTTGAGCTGCTGATACAACAGAACCCTCAGAGTCCACGGGCTCGCTTTGGAAAAGCTCAGGTGATGCCGCAGACACACACACATATCCATACACACACACCATAGCTTGTTTATAATGTTTTGACCTGCAGGCAGAGGACGACCTGGCAGAGAAACTCCGCAGTAACGACATGCTCCTGAGAGCCATCAACAGCTACAGAGAGGCAGCAGATCTTCCTGATGTTTCCCCTGATCTCCTGAGGGCAGCGCTAAAGAGACGATCTGAGAGGCAGCAGTTCCTGGGTAATTATAGCATACTTTACTCTTCTACCTCGTAGCCCAAGGACTGGTATATTTTCAGACCCAAAAAACTGACTGTCCTGCACCAAAGTCCATAGAGAGAAATTGTGTTTTTAGCTCAGTGAAAACACAGAAGCTGCTCGTCTGCTGCCCTCTGTGTGTGTTATGACGTTTATGGCACAAAGGTCAATCTGAACAAAACACTAAAGAACCAAAAATATCAAACTGGGTCACATTAACTTGTAACAGTGGCCACGGTGGATCAGCAACTCATTTGTGATGTATGGTAAAACTGCACATCTTTGTCGTTCAGGGCGGATGCGAGCATCAGTGGCAACTCTGGAGAGGTTGGTGCACGCCTTCCCTGATGACGTCAGCCTGAAGAACGACCTCGGCGTCGCTCACCTGCTACTAGGAGATAACACGGGCGCCAAGAAGGTCTACGAGCAGGTGTGTGTTTTGTGTGTCTTTGGTGATCACCGAGTGGATCTGTTGTGTTTGTTCCTGATTGGGCTCTTGCTCCTTTCCGCTCTGTTCTTCCAGGTTCTAGCCACTGCTCCCCACAATGGCTTCGCCAAAGTTCACTACGGCTTCATCCTGAAGTCTGAGAACAAGATTGAGGAGAGTATACCATATTTGAAGGTACGCTCTAAGACACACAGGGAGAGAGAGAGAGACGCAGGGCAACACACTCACATCTGTCGTCGCCACTTTTCATTCTTTGTTTCTCTCTTTTCAGGAAGGCTTGGAGTCAGGTGAGCCGGGGACGGACGATGGACGTTTCTACTTCCACCTTGGAGATGCTCTGCAAAGAGTCGGGGACAACAGCGTAAGTAAACCTCACGGTTGACTGTATGTTCTCTGTTTTTCCTGCTTCCTGACTAACATGAGGAGGTTCACCTGAGGCTGTTTAACCCCTGTGTGTGTCTCCAGGCGTATCACTGGTACGAGCTGGGGCACCAACGTGGACACTTTGCGTCCGTGTGGCAGAGGTCGTTGTACAACGTAGACGGACTGAGGGCTCAGCCCTGGTGGACGGCCAAAGAGACTGGATACACTGATTTGGTCAAGGTAATGAGCACCGTGTGTGTCGGTACAAGTCATTAGGTGGAAGTAATAGAAAAATGACACGTTGGTCATTTGTCGTGTCTTTTCTTCAGGTGCTGGAGAAGAACTGGAGGACAATCAGGGACGAGGCGCTGTCTGTGATGGACCAGAACACTGGAATGTTTGTACCCGAGGAGGAAAACCTGAGAGAGAAGGGGGAGTGGGGCCAGTACACACTGTGGCAGCAAGGTACAGAAACACGCACCCTTGAAGGTTAATTGTTGTTATATTAAGACTGTTTGTGGCTGAGAACAAAACCAGACTGAAACCACTGTATTTAGGTCTCCTGTCCTCTGACGTCTGTGATCATTAAAGAATCTTTTTGTCCATATGTTGTTCTTTAAAAGAACCGTGTATTAAAACCAGACTAAACCTGTGAATGTGGTTTTTCTCTTCAGGCAGGAAAGTCGGGAACGCCTGTCAGGGTGTCCCCAAGACCTGTGCCCTGTTGGAGAGACATCCTGAAGCCACAGGCTGCAAAAGAGGACAGGTGTGTGGTCCATACACACAAACACACTTGCATACACTAACGATGAAATAAGCTAATAGTTTGCCCTTTCCTGTCACCTGATGTTAAATGTATAGAGCAGCATTTAAACATTCTTGACAATAGCTCTTTGACAAACCCAAGAACAAGAGGTCATATACTAATAGACCACACTACACTTGGTATTGTATTACAGTAACATGTGTACTTTAATTTATCCTCAAATATGAGTAAAGTCAAATATCTCACAGAGAATGTTCCTAATCTTCCCACTCCAGATAAAGTTCTCAGTCATGCAGCCTGGGACTCACGTGTGGCCTCACACTGGTCCCACTAACTGCAGACTCCGAATGCACCTCGGCCTCGTCGTCCCCAAACAGGGCTGCAGGATTCGCTGCACCGACCAGATCAGGTACAGAACTCTTCCACACCTACATTTGTCTTCACTTTGACCGAGTTGTTTTTGCTGCTACCAGCTGCTCCACGTCCTACATTCCTGTACCTAACCCTGAAAACTCAGTTGTAACAATAATTAATCAGTTCTTTTTCTTTTAAAAACCAAACACTGTTAAAACTTCTACATTTTCTGAGGTTATTATTATTATTATTTACATTTCAATTTACACCTTTTCCTGAATCACGTGACCTTGAACCAGGTTCATGTGACCTGTTGTAGTAAGGTCATTGGTAATTTGGTCAGTAGATGGCGATCATGTGACCATGAGGGCCTGAAGGTTCGTCTCACTGTGGATTTTCTTTCTGTGTCTCAGGGAGTGGGAGGAGGGTAAAGTTCTCATCTTCGACGACTCCTTCGAACACGAGGTTTGGCAGGATGCGGACAGTTACCGCCTCATCTTCATCGTGGATGTGTGGCACCCGGAGTTAACGCACAACCAGCGACAGACTCTGAGCCCCATCTAGTTAAACAAAAGCAAGAAAAACAGACGTGTGAATGTGGTCAAAAACCTGGTGAGAATCCTGAGTTTCTGAATCTGAGGAGTGTGACCCACAGACTGAATTTTTTTTTTTTTACTTTTTATGTGAATGAACTACTTATAAAACACAGAAGATGAAGGATGGAATGATGGGAATTTAAATCCCAAATGTTTTTTTCTTTTGTAGGGGGGTTACATTCTTTGCTACTGACTTGACAACGTTACACCCAAAGACAAAGTGAACACTTGAGGTACTGGTTTAGTCCTGTTTGGACTTGGACTTTTTTTTTATTAATTCAACATAGTTATTTGACATTTGGTTTTCGTCACACTGCCTCCCAGTGGTAGAGAGTAGAATCAAACTCTGCGGTATAGCATGGCAGCAAGAACCTTACCACTGCACCAGCAGCTGCCCAAGAGTCATGAGAACCACTAGAAGCCAAAAAAAGAAATGTTTGTAGATTTTTTTTTAATGTTACAAGAGTTTCAAACTGAGGTTCAAGTCCATTGTTACTAAAACACTAAAACTGAGAAAAATCTGTTAATTCTACATTGATCCTGGATCGATCCTAAATCCTCAGACTTATTTTTGGTAAGTGTTGAAAATATTGTTTCTGTTTTCAGATAGTGAACCTAGAAATATTTCATCTTAAGATGAATCACTATGATTTTTCTGCCTAATTTAATCGATGCTGGGATTGAAGTTTCATTTTCTTTATGCACAGTAACAGCACAAGAAGCCTGAGGTGGCAAAAAAATAAAATTTATATTTATATAAAAATACTGAAAATGTGTCAAAAAAAACAAAAACACAAGTTGTGTGGGTTTTTCTTTTGATTGTATTAAATAGGTCAGGTCACTAAATAACACATTAGAACTTCCTGATGGGGGCAGCAGTGGGCCTGGGCAGCTGTTGTAGCTGATGTAGTTATTAAGTTATTAATTGTATTAAATTAATTTGTGCAAAATCAGAAACAGTGCTGTCACTTTTAGTTTTTGATTCTTTGTGAATTCTAAGTCTCGCCACCAGAGGTCGCCATCTTTGTAGAGCAATAGGCCCATTTCATATAGAAGTATATGTTGCATAAATATAGAACTCTTTTCTTTCTGACCAGAGTGAAACACAAAATGAGACAAAACAATAAGGAAGTTGAAGTAAATATTTACTTTTATACATTCATTGTAGGTAAATACATTAGAGTCAAGTGGAGGTAACATCATCATCATCACCATCATCTTCATCACTGCTCACAGGTGAAGACTAAAACATGCTTTAAAATGAGTGCACACTCATCCATTCACCTTTAACTTCAGCCAGAACGACGTCTGATCACTGTTTAAAATGCTATTTTACAAAAACCTAATTTTTCCGTGTGTTGATCATTTAAACCTGAGTGAATGGATGAGTGTGTGACATTTTT